TGCGGTCGGCCTGCTCCGAGCCTCGAACCTCGGTGTCCTCCGCGGTAAGGTGGGTCACAGGCCCACATGCCAGGACGTGGGAAGACGCGATGAGGCGTAGGCTGTGGACGAAACAGAGTGGGGCCCTGCGGCGGCTGGTTAACTTTGCCGCACAGCTTGATGTCTGGCACAGCGTCGCTGTTTAGTGACTTGAACGTTTTTCTTCCTGTTTTTAGTTCAAGCAGGGCCTCGCTCTCTCTCAGGCCGGAGTGCGGTGGCACGGTCAAAGCTCACGGCAGCCTTGGTCTTCCGGGCTCAAGCGACCCTCCCACCTCAGCCTCCTGAGTAGCTGGGACCGCAGGCACCACCAAGGCCAGCGAATTTTTTCCCAATTCGTAGAGATGGAGTCTTGCTATGTTGCAGGCTGATTTTGCTCTCCTAGCCTCCAGTGACCCGCTTTGGCCTCCCACAGCACTGGGATGACAGGCACGAATCATTGCGCCTGGCCAAACTTCCTGACTCGAGTTCAGTTTTGGTCTTTCCCCGGCTTCGTTTGCGATCATTTAACATGTGTTTATAGATGAGAGGGAACCCAAAAAACCGAAACCGGAATTAGCTTTTGGAGGGCGGGCCCTTTGGGTAAGTACAGGCTTCCCCACTAGGTAAGTGTTCTAGGAACCCATCAGTTTTCATCTGGAAGTTTCGAGAAGGTTGCAACACAGTCTGCGGAAGAAACATCCCAAGGTGTGGCAAACAGATGGCGGGTTCTTCCGCTGCGACCATGCACCTGCCCACACTGTCCTGACGGTTCAGCAGTTTTTAACCCAAGATGGCAGGACCCCAAGCCCTGCCCTCCCTGTTCCCCCGACCTTGCCCTGAGCGACTTTTTTTTATTTCCCGGGATGAAAAAAAACGCTCAAAAGGAAGCGTGTGGAAGAGGTGAAACCAAAAAGGGCAGAAGCACTCAAAGGCATCAGAGTTGCCAAGTCCAAAAGCGGTTTTGAACAGGGGAAAAAGCATCTCATTGGGTGAACTGGATCAAACTGATCAAGGTGACTGAAGTGTAAACATAAATACACAACTTTTTATAAATAAATTCTGGGCTTTTTTGGGTCCCCCTCATACATATGTGATGTCTCAGGTCTGTGGTTAAAGTTTCAAGGAGCTTAAACGCTACTGTGGGGGAAAGATGTGCAAACTGGAAATCTGCAACCCAAAGTGATTAGTACTAAGATGGGGGGATCTCAGAGCCTGTGGGAGCCTGGAGTGCCCGCCCCAGCTTCTGATGGGGTGGAACATACGAGCTGCTTTCAGTTCAGTTTGATTTCGTGCTGTTTCCTCGCATTCAACTGACGGGCGTCGAAGGGGCCAGGCGCAGTGGCTCATGCCGATAATCCCAGCAGTCTGGGAGGCCGAGGCAGGAGGATCACTTGAGACCAAGAGTTTGAGACTAACCTGGGCAACAGAGTAAGACCCTGTCTTACAAAAAAAAAAAAATTAGATTAGCTGGGCATGGTAGCACACACCCGTAGTCCCAGCTGCTTGGGAGGCTGAGGTGGGAGGATCGCTTGAGTCCAGGAGTGGAGGCCACAGTGAGCTGCGACCACGCCATGGCACTCCAGCTGGGCAACAGCGAGACCCTGTCTCTAAACAACAGCACTAGCTTGAGTTGAAACCAGCCGTTCGCATTTTAATTGGGTGAGGAAAACGGGATTAAATTTAGTTGAGCTGAGTTCAACTGTAACCCGTTTAGTTCCATCATCCCTGTTGACTTCAGTTAAAATGGCTCCTGATGAGCTACTGAGCAGAACTGAGCTGGGCTGGGCGGGGCTGAGCGCAAGTGAGGACATGCTTCTTTCGCTTCCGTTCAGTCAAGTTGTTCGTGACTAGGTTATGGGGTGGGGTGAGGATGAAGCGGTGGCTGGCTGAGCTGTAGTTGGTTTCAGCTGACCGAGGTGATCACACTGACGTCCACGGACGGACCCAGCTGGCCTGAACTGGCCTACGTGAGTCAGGTTGGGTTGGATAGGCAGGGTCGGAGGGAGCTGACTTGAGACGAGTTCACACCAGGGCATTCCCATTCAGCTGGTGGGGGTTGAGGCTGATCTTGGACTCGCGGATTAGGCTCCATCCGACGGAGTTCATTGGAGTGTATTTCCATCCAGTTATCCTCAATTCCACTCCATGCACTGTAATTGGCCCAAGTTCAAGTCTGTTGAATTAAATCTGAGGAGAACTGACTTCTGTTGAGCCAAGTAGACTTGGTTTTCATTCCTTCTGGCCCCACTTGGTTCAGTGGAGCTGGGTTTGTTCAACTAAATTCAGTCCCATGCCAGGTGTGGTGGCTCACACCTGTCATTCAGCACTTTGGGAAACCAAGGCAGGAGGATCATTTGAGGCCAGGAGTTTGAGACCTGGGGATATAGTGAGACCTCATCTCTGTTTAAAAAATAAAAATTGAATAAAGAATATCCCATGCTTTGGGAGGCTGAGGTGAGTGGATTGCCTGAGCCTGCAGGTTTGAGACCCGCCTGGGCAACTCGGTGAGACCTGATCTCTACAATAAATCAAAAAATTAGCTGGGCGTGGTAGTGTGGCCCTGTAATTCCAGCTCCTTGGAAGGCTGAGGCGGAAGGGTCGCCGGAGCCCGGCAGGTCGAGGCTGCGGTGGCCGGGAGCGGCCACTGCACTGCACTCCAGTCTGGGCGACAGAGTGAGACTCCGACTCAAAAAAAAAGAAAAGGAAAAAGAATAAAATCAGTGTCATTTGTTTCCTTCCAGCTTGACAAGTTGAGCCTAAAAGTCCTTAGCGCTGGCAAGCTGCATTGACGTGAGCGCTGTGCGGGCTGGGGTGTAGAGCTCGGTTCTGAGATCTCCCGCCTGAACCCCACACATGTCAGCGGGGGTCTACGCTTGCCAGCTCCCCCAGCCCCCAGGAGCGAACTGACAGTGGCCTGTCCCCGGGGGCCGCCTCAGCCAGTGTCTCCTCTGCCCCCTTCAGGCCAAGAAGGGGGAGGTTCCTCCCGAGGAGCAGGGCCCCAGCATCAAGAACCTCGACTTCTGGTCCAAGCTGATCACCCTCATCGTGTCCATCATCGAGGAGGACAAGAACTCCTACACCCCCTGCCTCAACCAGTGAGCTGTGGGTCTGGGGCATGATTCCCTGGGGGGCGTCGTGTGTGTGTGTGTGTGTGTGTGTGTGTGTGTGTGTGTACACAACTTGCGTCTTGTGTGGAAGGGCGGTGTGTCTGATGGCACGCCCAGTGTGCATATGGGGGAGGCGGTGGGTCTGATTCTGCCTGGGATTCAGATACAATTTGCAAACATAAATGTACAGTTGCGTGTCTGCAGACAATCACGGGTGTAACCAGCCATGTACTTTGTGTGTCGATCGGTGTGAATACATGCGTGCATGTGTGTGTCACTTTGAAGACGTGTAAGTTCATGAATAACATCAGCGTCTTTCAGGCCTGTACGGTGTGCTACTCTGCGAAGCGTTGTATGTTTAAATTGCATCATATCTTGCCTGTGTGGATGTCAAATTTTGCATGTAGTTATGGTCAGGGGGTTTAATTATGTATGTGTGTATAATTGTAGGATGCACTTCAGTATACAGTATTGTATATTGTACAGTATCGTGTACTGTGTAGTAGTGTGTGAATGTGTGCACGATTTTGCTTGTGGATTTATGTGACTGCAGAACTTTCATCTGTGTTAGCTGAATGAGCTGTTGCATTTTATTTCTCCCAAGGCGAGCGCTGCAGAGCCTCCAACTTTGGGGTGCTAACTTCTCCTGGCTACTTAGATGTGGGATTAGGATCAGGGATTTGGATGGGTTGAAGGGTGGGCGGATGAAGAGATGATGAACAGATGGATGGCTGGATGGCTGGAGGGGTGGGTGGGTGAGGGGATGCGTGAATGGATGGCTGGATGGGTGACAGGTGGATGGGCTGGTGAGTACATGCACGGA